TTGTGGGGTAGGAAATTATTTGTATGATTTCATTATGGGGCTTGTGTCAGATTTAGTATCGATTTATTAAAAAAAGTGTTTGTAGATCTAGGGACGAAGCAGTGTAGGGGGGTGGTGAATATTAAAGCAGAAGGTTAGTTTTGTAAGGGGTAAGGGGGGTTTGGACCCGTATGAGATAGAGTTTTTTGAGCCCGGGGGGAATAGTGGAGTACTATGTCCTGTGACCATTAATTTAACTGCACATGTTGGTTGTGCTAGTCCAATCAAAAATACACACAGGTCCAGCTACAATTTATCTGACTGTGACAGGGCCTTCCTAAGGCCATAGCTGAGTCGGTGCAGGCCCCCCCCCAAAAATAAAAAATACCAAATGTATGAAATCTCAGTTATGTGTGAGCATGGGCTGATTAGTCATTAGTCCATCGAGATGTCTTATTTAAGGGGAACGAGTGGGCGATTTTAAGTTGGAATGGTCCTGAAGTAAGAACCAGATGTCTTGTGAAGACCACTATTAGCTACCCCCACGAGATATGGGCCCGGTGCGAGAAGAGGGATCCCTGCCGAGCGGGTTGCTGGTTTCACGCGGCATGGTAGTTAAGCTCGTGATCTAATGGAGCGGCCATAGTATATAATGGAGGTAAAACGGACTGTTGATATATAATATGTAAGAGCATGCATATTATGTGATTTGTAAAATTAATAAGATCTAATACGAGCTTTAACTGACCGTATGGAAAATAAATGAATGCACGATAATACATAGTATATATGTATATGAATATTTATAAAGAAAGACTAAGATTTAATGGTGTGTGTATAAGGGTATGCAATAGTCACAGTAAAATGTATTGGAAATAGGTTTATTTAATACTGACGTAGTACTGTAGTGGTTTGTTATTGTACAATAAATCCTTTTTCAAGGAATAGTTTATGTAGAACTCCAGCTTTGGGTGTTGGTGGTGAGGTTCAATGTCTCTTCCTTGAGTCTTAGGGAGGGGTGAGGTTCTCCTTTTCCGGTTTACAAGACCGGGGTATTTTATTATACTACGAAGACTCTTCATTTTAGGAGCTTGTTTTCAATGAGGCTAGCTACTGGTATTAGTACTAAGATCAGGAGGAAGTATAAAATAGATGCTAGTTGGCCTACGGTAATGTATGGGTGTTCTACAGGTTGGCCTCCGATTCATGTTAGGATTAGGAAATCTGCAATTAAAGTTCAGAATAGGAGTTGGCTGAGGGGTCGGAATATTATGCTTCGTTGTTTGGATGTTTGGAGTATTGGAATGAATAATAGGATGAGAATAGAGAGTAGTAAGGCTAGTACTCCTCCTAGTTTGTTGGGGATTGATCGTAGGATTGTGTATGCAAATAGGAAGTACCATTCTGGTTTGATGTGTGCGGGGGTGTTTAGTGGGTTTGCTGGGGTGTAATTGTCTGGGTCTCCTAGGAGGTCAGGTGTGAATAGGGTTACTGTTAATAGGGTTAGGATTAGTAGTAAAGCACCTAGGATGTCTTTGATTGTGTAGTAGGGGTGGAATGGGATTGTATCCATGTTGGATGGGATTCCTGTGGGGTTGTTGGATCCTGTTTCGTGTAGGAATAATAAATGGACGGCTACTAGCGCTGTAATGATGAATGGGAGGATAAAGTGGAAGGTGAAGAAGCGTGTTAGTGTTGCTTTGTCTACGGAGAACCCACCTCAGATTCATTCTACTAAGGTGTTACCGATGTAAGGGATTGCTGATAGGAGATTGGTAATGACGGTTGCGCCTCAGAATGATATTTGTCCTCAGGGTAGGACATAGCCTACGAATGCAGTGGCTATAACTATTAGTAGGAGAAGTACACCAATATTTCATGTTTCTTGAGATGTGTGGGAACCGTAGTATAGGCTGCGTCCGATATGGGTGTAGAGGCAAATAAAGAATATGGAGGCTCCGTTTGCATGTAAGTATCGAATAATTCAGCCGTAGTTAACGTCTCGACAGATGTGTGCGACTGATGAAAAGGCAGTTGAGGTGTCTGGTGTGTAGTGTATTGCTAGGAATAAGCCTGTTAAGATTTGTATAATTAAGCAGAGGCCTAGTAGGGAGCCAAAGTTTCATCATGAAGAAATATTCGAGGGAGTAGGGAGATCGATGAATGCGTTGTTAAGAATTTTTATTAGCGGGTGTGTTTTTCGGATGTTGGTCATTAAGGTTCTTGTAGTTGAATTACAACGATGATTTTTCATATCATTGGTCGTGGTTAGAGACCATGTGAGAATAATGATAATATATATTGTTTTTATTATGAGCGTTATTTTTGTAATTAGTCTTGTGGGAGTTTCTTCGAAACCTTCACCTATTTATGGGGGCTTAGGGTTGATTGTGAGTGGTGCTATAGGGTGTGGAATTGTTTTTAGTTTTGGGGGTTCGTTTTTAGGTTTAATAGTGTTTTTAATTTATTTGGGAGGGATGGTGGTTGTATTTGGTTATACAGCAGCTATGGCCACTGAACAATATCCTGAGGCTTGGGTCTCTAATAAAGTTGTGTTAGGGGGCTTTCTTTTGGGTTTAGTTGTGGAGTTTTTAGTGGTGTTGTATATTTTATGAGGTGAAAAAACAAGTTTTGTGTTTGAGTTTAATGGGTTGGGGGATTGAGTTGTTTATGATGTAGGAGAGTCTGGGGTTTTTAGTGAGGAGATTACAGGGATTGCTGCTTTGTACAGTTATGGTACTTGGTTAGTTGTTGTTACTGGCTGATCATTGTTTATTGGTGTTGTGGTTATTATAGAGATTACTCGAGGTAGTTAAATAACACTAAGGTAAGGGTTATGGTGATGAGAAAGGATAGGAAGTATAATTTGATGAGGCCTTTTTGGTTTGAAGTTAGCAGGGAGGCCTTTAGTTGGATGTGGGCTGTGGTTTTTGGTAATAAGACCTCTATTCAGGTTAGGTCTAGTAGAGAGGTTGCGAGTTTCTGGCTTATTGTTAGGACTAGGTAAGGAGGTAGACGATGTATGATAGTGGGAAAATAACCTAGTAGAGTGGAGAAATTGGTAGCGTTTGATGGGTGTGGGTATTTTAAGGTTTTTGAATAGGAGTTGATTTCGAATGCGAGGATAAAGCCTAGGATTGTTATTGTAAGGGCTGTTAATTTTAGGTGTAGGGGTATTGTTATTAAGGGGGTAGTTATTGGAGGTATGTTGTTGGAGAGGATGAATCCGGCGAAGATGCTTCCGATTAATAGGCGTTTGATAGGGTTGATTAATATGGGGTTAGTCTCATTAATGCTTACGAGAGGGGGGAAGCGGGGTTGTTCTAGTAGGGTAAGGAAGATAATGCGGGTGCTGTAAATAGCTGTTAGGGAGGTGGCGATTAGTGTTAATAGTAGGGCTCAGGCGTTGGTATAAGACGAAGTGGCGGCTTCGATGATGAGGTCTTTAGAGTAAAATCCTGTGAGGAATGGCATTCCTGTTAGTGCGAGGCAGCCAGTGATGAGGGCAGTTGTGGTAAAGGGGAGGATTTTGTATAGTCCGCCTATTTTTCGAATATCTTGTTCATTGTTTAGACTGTGGATAATGGAGCCAGAGCATAGGAATAATATAGCTTTGAAAAAAGCGTGTGTACAGATGTGCAGGAATGCTAGGTGAGGTTGGTTGAGGCCGATAGTTACTATTATTAAGCCGAGTTGGCTGGAGGTGGAGAAAGCAATAATTTTTTTGATGTCATTTTGGGTTAGAGCACAGATGGCTGTGAATAGGGTAGTAAGGGCGCCTAGAGAAAGTACTATTGTTTGAATGGGTTTGTTGTTTTCTATTAGAGGATAGAACCGGATAAGTAGGAAAATTCCTGCCACAACTATTGTGCTTGAGTGAAGTAGGGCTGATACTGGAGTGGGGCCTTCTATTGCTGAGGGTAATCAGGGGTGTAGTCCAAATTGGGCTGATTTTCCAGCTGCAGCTAGTGTGAGACCTATGAGGGGGATGTTTGGGGAGCTTTGGTTGAGCATAAAGATTTGTTGTAGGTCTCATGTGTTTGTGTTAGATAAGAATCAGGCTATAGATAGAAGGAATCCAATATCTCCAATGCGGTTATATAGGATTGCTTGGAGGGCGGCTGTGTTGGCGTCTGATCGTCCGAATCATCAGCCAATTAATAGGAAGGACATGATTCCCACTCCTTCTCATCCAATAAACAATTGGAAAAGGTTGTTGGCTGTGGTGAGAATAAGTATAGTAATGAGGAAGATGAGTAGGTATTTGAAGAATTGGTTAATGTTAGGATCTGAGTGCATGTATCAGATTGAGAATTCTATGATGGACCATGTAATAAATAATGCTACAGGTATGAATATAAGTGAGAAGTAGTCTATTTTAAAGCTGAGGGATAGTTTGAGAGTGTGGATAGTAATTCAGTGTCAGCTTGAAATGAGTGTTTCTTGGTTTGTGTGGACAAATATTGTTGTGGGGATTAGGCTGGTGATAAAAGCAAGTAAGGTTATGTTTTTTACATAGTGTTGGTACTTGTTGCTCTTATAGAAATTTGTGCTAGATGCTACAATAGGGGTAGTTAGTATAAATAGTGTGAGTAGGGTGGAGGAAGTGAATAGGTTTATTACTTTTATTTGGAGTTGCACCAATTTTTTGGTTCCTAAGACCAATGGATAACTGTTATCCTTTAAAAGTTTGAAAAAGCCACATTATTAGGTGGGGGGCATGAATTAGCAGTTCTTGCAACACTTTTTCGGTAAGTAAGAGGTTTTGTCCTCTGTTTTTAGCTTCACGGGCTAATGTTTTTTTAAACTATACTTACAGTAAAGGGATCCTAGGATGATTTTAGGGTTTAGTGATAGGAGTAGTAGGGGGATAATGTGCAGGGCTATTAAGGCGTGTTCTCGTGTAAAGGAAGGAGTGAGATTATTGATGTGATGTGTGTGTTTGCCGCGTTGTGTTATGATTAGTATATATAAGGAGTAAAGGGCTGTAATTAGGATATTTGTTGCTATGAGGATAATGGTGAGGTTCGATCATGAGAAGGTTGATGTAATTACAAGTAGCTCTCCAATCAGGTTAATGGTAGGGGGTAGGGCGAGGTTTGCTAGGCATGCCAGTAGTCATCAGGTGGCTATTAGTGGGAGAAAGATTTGTAGGCCTCGTGTTAAGATTATGGTTCGGCTGTGAGTTCGTTCGTAGTTTGAGTTTGCTAGACAGAATAATATGGAGGATGTAAGGCCGTGGGCGATTATTAGGGCAGTGGCTCCTATGTAGCTTCAAGGTGTTTGGATGAGGGTGGCTGTGATGACGAGTGCTATGTGGCTGATTGAGGAGTATGCGATTAGTGATTTTAGGTCTGTTTGGCGTAAGCAGATAGAGCTGGTTATAATCATTCCTCATAGAGATAGTACAAGGAAGGGATAGGCTATGTGTTCTGTTATGGGGTTGAGGATTGATGTGATCCGTAGTATACCATAGCCTCCGAGTTTTAATAATACGGCCGCAAGTACTATTGAGCCTGCAATAGGGGCTTCTACATGTGCTTTGGGCAATCAGAGGTGTAGACCATATAGAGGTATTTTTACTAGGAAAGCTAGCATGTAGGCTAGTCATATGAGGGTGTTAGATCAGGAAATAGGAAGTGGTTGGGCTCAGTATTGTAGTAGTAGGAAGTTTAGGGAGCCTAGTGTATTTTGTAGGTATGTTAGTGCAACTAGTAGTGGGAGGGATCCTATAAGTGTGTAGAATAGGAAGTAGAGTCCTGCATTGAGTCGTTCTGGTTGGTTGCCTCAGCGGGTGATGATGATGAGGGTGGGGATTAGTGTGGATTCAAATGTGATGTAAAATATAATTAGTTCTGTGGCGGTGAAGGTTATGATTAGAAGGATTTGTAGTATGATTAGTATTGTGATGTAGAGTTTTTTTCGGGTAAGTGGTTCTTTTACAAGGTGCGATTGACTTGCTATTAGTGTTAATGGTAGGAGTCATATTGTTAACATTAAGAGTGGTGCAGAAAGGGAATCAGAGAAAAATGTCAAGGAGTAGTTAAGACTGCTATCGTTAAATTGGTTAAGTAGGAGTAGGCTTGTAAAGCTGATTAGTAAGCTGTGGGTTGTGGTGTTAATTCAGATGAATTTGTTTTTTGATAGTCAAGTTAAAGGTATTAGTATGACAGTAGGGATAATGAATTTTAGCATTGGAGGAGGTTGAGGTTTTGTACATAGTCGGTACCATATGTGTTAGAGATTATAACTAGTAAGGCTAGTCCGATAGCTGCTTCACAGGCTGCGAATACTAAGAGGATGATTGGTATTATGTTGGCTAGGGTGAAGTGTGAGTTTAAGATTGTGAGGGTTGCTAGGACGAATAGCGATAATATTATGCCTTCTAGACATAGTAATGCGGATATTAGGTGAGATCGATATATTAGTAGGCCCGTGAGAGATATGATAAAGGCTATTAGGATATTAATGTGGACTAAGGACATTTGGTACTTGTGAGTTTAAATCACAGTCTAGTGGGTCGAAATCACTCATTTTATTTTAAACTAAGTGCCATATTTGTCTCATTCCAGGCCATTTTGGGCTCATTCATAGGCTAGGCTAGCTGCTAGTAGGGAGATTAAGAGTAAGGTCGTAGGGAGTATGTTTGTTAGGTTGTTCGTTTGAATTGCTCAGGGTAAGGGGAGTAGGAGAGCAATTTCAAGGTCGAAGAGAAGAAAAGTGATTGCTACTAGGAAGAATTTTATGGAGAAGGGTAGGCGAGCAGATCCTATAGGATCAAAGCCACATTCGTAAGGGCTAATTTTTTCTGCATAGGGGTTTAGCTGGGGGAATCAAAAAGCAATAAGTATGAGTAGTAGAGCTAGGGTTGTGTTTGTCAGTAATGTTAGTAGAAAGTTTATTGTTCTTTTTCGGGGTGTACCGAAACTAACTGATTGGAAATCAGTTGTACTTGTTAATACTAAAAGGACTATGAACCTCATCAATAGATGGAGACATAGAGGAATAGTCATACAACGTCTACGAAGTGTCAGTATCAAGCAGCGGCTTCGAAGCCGAAGTGGTGGTTTGATGTGAAGTGGAATATTAATTGACGCATGAAACAGACAATGAGGAAAGTAGATCCGATGATGACATGTAATCCATGGAAGCCTGTGGCTACAAAGAATGTAGATCCATAGATTCCATCTGAGATTGTGAATGGGGCTTCGTAATATTCTGATGCTTGAAGTAGGGTGAAATAGAGGCCGAGTATGATTGTGATGAGAAGGGCTTGGAGTGTGTGTTTACGACTGCCTTCTATGAGGCTATGGTGGGCTCAAGTAATAGATACGCCGGAGGCTAATAATACAGAGGTATTGAGGAGCGGGACTTCTAGTGGATTTAAAGGATGGATGCCTGTTGGTGGTCAGGAACCACCTAGTTCAGGGGTAGGGGCGAGGCTTGAGTGGTAAAAGGCTCAGAAAAAGCCTGTGAAAAATAGAACTTCTGATAAGATGAATAAGATTATGCCATATCGAAGTCCTTTTTGAACGGTTGGTGTGTGGTGTCCTTGGAAAGTGCTTTCTCGAATGATATCTCGTCACCATTGGTATATTGTTAGGGCGTTTGTTAATAGGCTTAGGACTAGCAGGGCTACTGAGTTGAAATGGAATCATATGGTTAGACCTGAGGCTATAAGAAATGCTGAGAGAGCTCCTGTAAGGGGTCAAGGGCTTGGGTTTACTATGTGGTAGGAGTGAGTTTGGTGGGTCATTATGTATTGTCTTGCAGGTATAGGCTTACTAGTAAGGTGAATACGTAGGCTTGGATTAGGGCTACAGCGAATTCGAGAATAGCTAATAGAGTAAGGATGGTGAACGTAATGAAGGCTGTGAATAAACTGATGTTTGTTAGTGCAAGGGTTATGCTTCCAATTAGGTGCAGTAATAGGTGGCCTGCTGTGATGTTGGCTGTTAGTCGCACTGCTAGGGCTAAAGGTTGAATAAATAGACTAATAGTTTCGATTGTCACTAACATAGGGATTAAGAAGGTTGGGGTGCCTAGTGGTAGAAGGTGGGCTAAGGAAATTTTTGTCTTGTTGCGGAAGCCTGTAACAACAGTGCCGGCTCATAGAGGGATAGCTATGCCTAAGTTTATTGAGAGTTGAGCGGTAGGTGTGAATGAGTGGGGTAATATTCCAAGAAGATTTGTGGAAGTAATAAATAAGAAAAGTGAGATAAACATAAGGGATCAGGTTCGTCCTTTAGGGTTATGTGTAATTATTAGTTGTTTTGATGTGAGTTTGGTTAGTCATTGTTGGATGGTGATCATGCGGTTGTTGATTAGTCGACTTGGTGTTGGGAATAGTATTGTGGGGAATATAATAATTAGGGTTGTGATGGGAATACCTAGTATTATTGGGATTGTGAAAGGGGTAAATAGATTTTCGTTCATGTGTAGTTTCAAGGAGTTTGTTGTTTTTGTAATTTGGTGAGTGTTGGTTTGGGGGAAGGGAGGTAGAAGTGCTTTGAGATTTTTAGTTGAAGTAGTGCGAAGAGGGTGAAAATCATGGAGAGAATGGTAAGAAGTCATGTGGAAGTATTTAGTTGTGGCATGTCATTAAGGAGAGTGCATAGTTCTCAGTCTTTAACTTAAAAGGTTAACGCTAGTTTAGCTTCTTAATGAGATTACAATATGGATGTAGATCATTTTTCAAAGTCCTCTAGGGGTACTAGTTCGAGGACGATTGGCATAAAGCTGTGGTTTGAGCCGCAAATTTCTGAGCATTGTCCATAGAATAGGCCAGGTCGTGTTGATATAAGGGTTGTTTGGTTCAGACGTCCAGGAATTGCATCTGTTTTTAGGCCTAGAGAAGGGACAGCTCATGAGTGTAGTACGTCTTCTGAGGAAACTAGTACTCGGATTGTTATTTGTATAGGTAGGATTATTCGATTATCTACTTCTAGCAGTCGTAGTTCTCCTGGTTTTAGGTCTGAGGTTGGAATTATGTAGGAGTCAAAGTTTAGGTCTTCGTAGTCAGTATATTCATAGCTTCAGTATCATTGATGTCCTATAGTTTTTACAGTTAGGGAGGGGTTGTTGATTTCGTCTATTATGTAGAGGATACGTAGAGAAGGTAGGGCAATTGTGATTAAGATAATGGCTGGGAGGACGGTTCAAATGGTTTCTACTTCTTGGGCGTTTATTGTGTTGGTGTGTGTTAGCTTGGTTGTAAGTATTAGGGTAATAATGTAGAGTACCAGGGAGCTAATTAGGAAGACGATTATTAGTGCGTGATCATGGAATTGCAGGAGTTCTTCTATAACGGGTGATGTTGCGTCTTGTAAGCCTAGTTGGAAGGGATATGCCATGGAGATATACAGGATTTTCACTTGTGACTTAACTTTGACAAAGTTATGTAAGGCTTTACTAATATCTCAGTTATGAAGAAAGACATAGTGGTTATGATGTTGGCTTGAAACCGATTAGAGGGGGTTCGATTCCTTCCTTTCTTGCACTCTTTGGGTTAATGTACACTGGTTCTTCAAATGTATGATATGGTGGAGGACATCCGTTTAATCACTCGAGGTTTGTATGGGTGAGATCTACCGCGGACACTTCTCGTTTGGATGCAAATGCTTCTCAAATAATGAAGACTATAAGTATGACTGCTGTTAGTGAGATGAAAGAGCCTATTGATGAAATGGTGTTTCATGTTGTGTAGGCGTCTGGGTAATCAGAGTATCGACGGGGTATTCCAGATAAACCGAGGAAGTGTTGTGGAAAGAATGTTACATTCACACCTACGAATATGATTACGAATTGAGTTTTTGTCCATGTTGAATTGAGTGTATAACCTGAAAATAGTGGGAATCAGTGGACGAAACCTCCTATGATGGCGAAGACAGCCCCTATTGAAAGCACATAGTGGAAGTGTGCGACTACATAATATGTGTCGTGGAGGATGACGTCTAAGGATGAGTTGGCTAGGATAATACCGGTTAAGCCTCCTACTGTGAATAGGAAAATAAAGCCTAGGGCTCATATTAGGGCTGGAGATCATTTAATATTTCCTCCGTGGAGTGTTGCCAGTCAGCTAAAGACTTTTACCCCTGTGGGAATAGCAATAATTATGGTAGCTGATGTGAAATATGCTCGTGTGTCTACGTCTATTCCGACTGTAAATATATGGTGAGCTCATACAATGAAACCTAGGAAACCAATAGAAATTATAGCCCACACCATCCCTATATATCCAAAGGGCTCTTTTTTTCCCGAGTAGTAGGTTACGATATGTGAGATTATCCCGAAGCCGGGTAGAATTAGAATATATACTTCGGGGTGACCAAAAAATCAGAATAAGTGTTGATATAGGACTGGGTCGCCTCCTCCTGCAGGGTCGAAAAAGGTTGTGTTTAGGTTTCGATCAGTTAGTAGCATGGTAATTCCGGCTGCTAGGACAGGTAGTGATAATAGGAGTAAGACTGCTGTAATTAAGACTGATCATACGAATAAAGGTGTTTGGTATTGGGTTATAGCGGGTGGTTTTATGTTAATAATAGTTGTAATGAAGTTGATAGCCCCGAGGATTGAAGATACGCCGGCTAGATGTAGAGAGAAAATAGTAAGGTCGACTGAGGCTCCTGCATGTGCTAGATTTCCTGCTAGAGGGGGGTACACAGTTCAGCCTGTGCCTGCGCCGGCTTCAACTATTGAGGATGCTATTAGTAGTAGGAAAGAAGGAGGAAGCAGTCAAAAGCTTATGTTATTTAGACGAGGGAAAGCCATGTCGGGGGCTCCGATTATTAAAGGGACAAGTCAGTTTCCAAACCCTCCAATTATAATAGGCATTACTATAAAGAAGATTATCACGAAGGCGTGGGCTGTTACTAGTACGTTATAAATTTGGTCGTCTCCAATAAGTGAGCCAGGTTGGCCTAATTCAGCACGAATTAACAAGCTTAGGCCGGTGCCTACTATTCCTGCTCAGGCACCAAATAGTAGATATAAAGTGCCAATGTCCTTGTGATTGGTAGAGAATAGTCATCGGTTTATGAACATAGGTAAAATGGTCGAGTAGGCATTAGACTGTAAATCTAAAAACAGGGGTAAAGTCCTCTTTTTACCAGGTTCTGTGGTGAGTAATCATTTTGAATTGCAAATTCAAAGAAGCAGCTTCAATCCTGCCGGGACTTCTCCCGCCTTTTTTTTCTCGCGGCGGGAGAAGTAGATTGAAGCCAGTTGATTAGGGTATTTAGCTGTTAACTAAAAGTTCGTGGGAGATGTATCCCTCCAATCTAGTGAGGATTTAGCTTAATTAAAGTGTTTGATTTGCATTCAATTGATGTGAGATACGGTCTTGCAATCCTTATTAGGCAGGGATTAAGTAAAGTTATACTTGCTTAGGGCTTTGAAGGCTCTTGGTCTGATTAACCTAAACCCCTATAGTAGAATAAAGAATATTGGTGTGAGAGGTAGGAGTATGGTGGATAATACGATTGCTGTTGGTAAAAGGGTTATTTGTTTTGTGGGGTGAAACTGTCATTTTATTTTTATGTTATTAGTGGAGGGGAATAGGGTTAGTGCTGTGGAGTAGGTGAGACGTATATAGAAGTATAGATTGAGTAGGGCTGTAATGGCTATGAGAGTTGGTAAAAGGAGGGTATCGTTTTTTGTTAGCTCTTGAATAATTATTCATTTGGGTATAAATCCTGTGAGTGGAGGGAGTCCTCCTATGGATAGGAGGGTGAGTATGGTGAAGGTTGTTATAATTGGTATTGTATTTCATGTTTGGGATAGTAGTAGTGTGGTGGTGGTGGAATTTTGGATGAGTAGTGTGAATATGGTGAAGGTCAGGATAATGTAGATTAACAGGTTTAGTATAGTAAGGGATGGGTTATATAACAAAATAGTGGTTATTCATCCTATATGGGCGATTGATGAATAGGCTATGATTTTTCGGAGTTGTGTTTGGTTTAGTCCACCTCAGCCTCCGATTAGGATAGATAGGAAAGATATAGTAATTATTAGGTGTAGGTTGATTGATGGGGAGATTTGGTAGAGGATTGAAATAGGTGCAAGTTTTTGTCATGTAAGAAGAATTAGTCCTGTGGTTAGAGGGATGCCTTGTGTAACTTCTGGCACTCAAAAGTGAAAGGGGGCTAATCCTAGTTTAATGGCTAGGGCTATTGTTATTAGGAGAGATGCTGTTGGGTTGAATAATTTTATGACGGTTCATTGACCGGAGTGTATTAAGTTAATGATGATTGCTAGTATAAGTAGTGCGGATGCTGTGGCCTGTGTTAGAAAGTATTTGGTTGAGGCTTCTGTGGCTCGAGGAGTGGGGTTTTTCATTATGATGGGAATGATGGCTATTATGTTTATTTCTAATCCGATTCAGGCAAATAGTCAGTGGGAGCTGATGGTTACGATTGTTGTGCTTAGGATAAGGGTTGATAGTAATATGATAGAGATGAATGGGTTAATTAGTACGGGAAGGGTATAAACCAACATTTTCGGGGTATGGGCCCGATAGCTTATTTAGCTGACCTTACTGTAGATTATAGTGTGATATGGTAGCACGGAGAATTTTGAGTTCTTAAGGATAGGTTCAATTCCTATTGTTCTAGAAATAAGGGGGTTTAAACCTCTATTATTTACTCTATCAAAGTAACTCTTTTGTCAGACATATTTCTTGTGTTTATGTTTGAGGGGGGATGCTTGCTGTTATAATGGGCAGTGAGACATGTCATATACAGAAAGCTAGTGTTAGTGGGAGGAAATTTTTTCAGAGTAGATGCATTAGTTGGTCATATCGGAATCGAGGGTATGATGCTCGGATCCATAGGAAAGATATTGTTAATAGTAGGGATTTGGCGATTAGGTTTGTTGTGCATAGTTCTGGTGTATGGGGGTCATGGAATGCACCCAGGAATAAGATGGTTGTAAATATGTTTATTATGATGATGTTAGCGTATTCTGCTAGGAAGAAAAGGGCGAAAGGACCTGCTGCGTACTCTACATTGAAGCCGGATACAAGTTCTGATTCTCCTTCTGTAAGGTCGAAGGGAGCTCGGTTGGTTTCTGCTAGGGTAGAGACAAATCATATTATGGCTAGTGGTCATGAGGGGAAGAGTAATCAAAGTTTTTCTTGTGTGGTGTTTAGTGTGGATAAGGTGAAAGAGCCATTTATTAAGAGTACTGATAGGAGAATGATGGCTAATGTTACTTCGTACGAGATTGTCTGTGCTACTGCTCGTAATGCTCCGATTAAGGCGTATTTTGAGTTGGAAGCTCATCCAGATCATAGGATAGAGTATACAGTTAGGCTGGATATTGCTAGCATGAATAGTACTCCTAGGTTTAAGTCGATGAGAGGGTGAGGTATGGGTAGGGGGACTCATATTGTGAGGGCTAAGGTTAATGCAAGTACGGGTGCGATGATAAATATAGTGGTGGAGGATGTGGCTGGTCGTAGGGGTTCTTTAGTAAATAGTTTGATTGCGTCAGCGAAGGGTTGTAGTAGACCATGTGGGCCTACAATATTAGGTCCTTTTCGGAGTTGTATATGGCCTAGGATTTTGCGTTCTACTAATGTTAAAAATGCTACAGCTAAGAGGATAGGAAGAATGAGCATTAGAATGTTAATTATAAACATTTGTTGGGAAGAGGATTTGAACCTCTGGGTATAAAGGTTTAAGTTTTATGCAATTACCGTACTCTGCCATCCCAACAAAGCCCTGGTTTCGGGCAGAGTATGTTTGCGCTATTTTATTAGGTTGAGATTGGATCACTAATTGTTTGAAGGCGCTTTTTTGAAGTTGGCCTTATTTCTCTTGTCCTTTCGTACTGGGAGAAATGCGTAATAGATAGAAACCGACCTGGATCACTCCGGTCTGAACTCAGATCACGTAGGACTTTAATCGTTGAACAAACGAACCCTTAATAGCTGCTACACCATTAGGATGTCCTGATCCAACATCGAGGTCGTAAACCCTATTGTCGATATGGACTCTAGAATAGGATTGCGCTGTTATCCCTAGGGTAACTTGTTCCGTTGATCAAGAATTTGGATCAATAAGTGATATTACACTTTGGCCAGTAGGCCTAGGTTTTAATCACTCGGAGGGTTTTTTGTACTCCGAGGTCACCCCAACCGAAATTGTCAACCCATGTAAAATTTTGTTATCCCTTGGTGGTGCTGTTTTGTGTTTTTTGGGTTGATTAATTAAAGCTCCATAGGGTCTTCTCGTCTTATTGTATTATCCCCGCCTCTTCACGGGGAGGTCAATTTCACTGATTAGAAGTAAGAGACAGTAAAACCCTCGTGTGGCCATTCATACAAGCCCTTATTTAGAGAACAAGTGATTATGCTACCTTTGCACGGTCAAGATACCGCGGCCGTTTAACGATTAAGTCACTGGGCAGGCAGTGCCTCTAATACTAGTTATGCTAGAGGTGATGTTTTTGGTAAACAGGCGGGGTTTGTGTTTGCCGAGTTCCTTTTACTTCTTTTAATCTTTCCTTGATGCACGCCTGTGTTGGGTTAACAGTGTATTTAATAAATGGTTTAGTGTTGGGTTATATTTATTGACTGTTAATTATCAGTGTAATATCAGTTACTGATGTAAGCTTGTGCGAGGAGAAAAACTTTCTTGTTACTCATATTAACAGTATTGCATCTATAGATAAATAGATTAGTCCAATAGTCAGGCTAGGAGTTGTTTTGTTTATTATTGGAATTAAAACTTATTTTTGTTGTTGAGCTTGAACGCTTTCTTAATTGGTGGCTGCTTTTAGGCCAACTATGGTTTAAGTTTTATGTTACTCTCTAGTGAAGGTTGTATCCGTTTCTAAGAAGCTGTACCTTCTTAGACTAACAGTTAAACATACGTTAAACTTGGTGTGGTTTTTAGCATTGTTTAATGTTGAACTGAAATTCCTTTTTTGGACAACCAGCTATCACCAGGCTCGTTAGGCTTTTCACCACTACTTATAAGTCTTCTCACTATTTTGCCACATAGATGAGTTCGTTCTATTCACTGCTTGTAAGTAGCTCGTCTGGTTTCGGGTAGTTTAACTTAAGGCCTCTTTGCTAAAATATTGCTAGTTAAATCATTATGCAAAAGGTACAAGGGGTAAGCTTTGCTTTTTTTTACTTTTAATAATTCTTTCATCTTTCCCTTACGGTACTTTCTCTATAGCGCCATTGATAATTTGAATTTCTATCTCCTATACTTTAAATGTATGGTGAATGTTTTATTTGATTGACTTGTAGTAGTAGTGATGGGGGAAGGCATGGGCTAGGTATAGTTCAGGATGTGCACGAATTGTGAAATCTTCTAGGTGTAAACTAGATGCTTTATTTAAGCTACATCTTGATTTATCCAAGCACACCTTCCGGTACGCTTACCTTGTTACGACTTGTCTCCTCTTGTATACTTGCTTAGCATGGGTTAGTAATCTAGGGCTTCGCTATGCTACTTGAGGAGGGTGACGGGCGGTGTGTGCGTGCTTCATGGCCTTATTCAATTAAGCACTCTATTCTTAATTTACTGCTAAATCCTCCTTTGGTTTTTAGTTTTCATAAAAACTTTCGTGTAGACTTGAGGGATGTTCTTGTTATAGAAAATGTAGCCCATTTCTTCCCAACCCATAGGTTACACCTTGACCTAACGTTTTTATGTGCGATAGTTGTGCTTACTTTCGTTCCTTTTTAGGGTTTGCTGAAGATGGCGGTATATAGACTGAGGTAGCAAGGATTGGTGAGGTTGATCGGGGTTTATCGTTTACAGAACAGGCTCCTCTAGAGGGATATGAAGCACCGCCAAGTCCTTTGAGTTTCGGGCTGTTGCCGGTAGTACTCTGGCGAATAGTCTTGTTTTAAGGACTATTTAAGTTTACGACTAAGCATAGTGGGGTATCTAATCCCAGTTTGGGTCTTAGTTGTCGTGTACTCAGTTTATGGTAAAGTTACTTTCGTGGTTCGGCTTAAATTTAATTATGGCTTTTTACAGCTTAATTAAAGCTTGACTTTATTTTGTATTGTTCCTTGACACTCTTTACGCCGGATGCCTATTAATTCGGGTCAATCGTATGGCCGCGGTGGCTGGCACGAAGTTTACCAACCCTTATTAGTATGGCTAGGTCAAACTTTCGTTCATGGCCTAATTTTTGTCACTGCTGTCTCCCGTGGGGGTGTGGCTAAGCAAGGCGTTGTGAGCTACTAATGTAGTGTACTTGATGCCTGCTCCTTTTAGTCTTTATGATTCTAAGGGCATTTTCACTGGAATGTGGATGCTTGCATGTGTAAGGCTACTAAGAACTAATAGAAAGGCCAGGACCAAACCTCTGTGTTGATGGGGCTATAGGGCCCATCTAGACATTTTCAGTGTCTTGCTTTTTAAAAATTTAAGCTACATTAAC